CCTGCTGGACATTGAGGCTCTAAATTGGGCATCACTGTTGTTACATAAAGTTTAATTGAGGACATTTGTTCCACTGCTTGAAGAGATTATTGACATGATCTTTTCAGTGTGCAAGATTCCCAGGATTGTTAAAACAAAAATATACTTTGGTCAAAGGACTACCTCTTAAAAGAAAAGAATTATCCATCCTTCTCCTTATAGAGGAAGGGCATGTTCGATATCACTGAAGTCTTCAGCCTTTCTTAATTTCCGTGACTTTGATTTCAATGAGCAGTGCAATCGCATGAAGATTATTGATGTAATTAATTGATGCCCTACCCAGGGTACAAATGAAGAACGTTATTGTTGTTGTTGTTATTATTATTAACTATTATTTATAATAATTTTTACATAATTCAGAGGATAGCATTAGCATAATATTGTGAATTGTACTGTATTTTTCTCCTTCTGGTGAATAAATACGCAAGAATGGTAGGGATAATAGACTGCTTACCTGCAGCACTCTCAATATTTTGATTGTTTACTGAGTATTTCCTGCAAGATTATGCAGTTTCCTTTTCTTAAATAATCGGATAACTGAGATTAATTTTGAGGTAAGAGCCAGTTGTCCAAGATGATCTTTATATGACTTGATATTAATAGATCAAAATGCTAGCAGAAGATGTCTGTATATTAATTCAAGTGTTATATTTACACCTGGCTGAAGTTTGCTGTTTAGAATGCTTCTTCAATAGCTTCCAGGATGGAAGAGTTATTTTGGTGATTGGGTTTTAGCAAAGGAGCTGAAATCTTTTGTGTCCTGGACTTCTTCGTAACTGCCTACATCTTCTCACACTATTAATTACGTGAAGCTAAATGTATCTGTCTCAGAAGGAAGATTTGGCACCTATAGGATTCAAATATGCAGTTGAATTATATAACCTGGGATGATGGTTCCCCTGTTTTTGGGGTGAATGTAACAGGTCCTGGCTCTGTGCTCAATTATTCACGGACTTTAGAAGAGCTTTGAGGGGCTTGAAGGAGATACATCCCACCTTCAGAACTAGAAGTTGTTGTCATTATTGCATGAAGTATCCAAGCCCAGACATGCCATTTTGAATTCATTTGCATAGCAGTTGTGCTTATACCATAGTTCTGTAACTTCTACCCTACGAGTTCCAGAGTTTATGGCATTACCTCCCATTTGTCTTTGCTTTTCTGAGGCTTTTAACTAACAAGTTTGTAGCACAAGACTAAGAGCCAAGTACATAGAGCCACTTAGAAAGATGTGATTGTACCTCTCTAACTCTGATGCTTGTAGTGGCATTTCATGTTGTCAAATTAATTTTACCATATATTAGCAGAAAACACACTGAGATTTCATAGTCTCCCCAGTAGCTCTGTGGCGTTGCTACTTTTGTTAAGCAGTTTCTAAAAACTAAACCATATATGACATGGATTTTTGCTGAGTACTCCCGTCAACTGAGAACAGTCCATTTTACATGTTAGAGATAATCGAGTAATCTGTTTCTAATAATGTTAGTCGACAAAGAGAATATTCATCCAATGCTATTAATAGTTTTGCATTTGGCTACATCTAAAAATAAATCTGTTGTGTTTCAAAACCTTTTACAGTAAAGACATTTAAGCCATACAGTCATGTGTTATACAGTGACTCAGAGGGTATCCTTGCTCCCCTGGTGCAAAGTCAGAAACAATTTATGTCCCTAACTGGTAACTGAGCACAGCCACCCTCCAAGGTGTGTTAAACAACCTTTTGAAAGAAGATCTCTACCATGCTGTCAGAGGTGCAGGGAGACTAGTATGAGGTGACTGATGTATTCCCTGCCTGGGTGGAATCCTGGGAAGTTTATTACATTTCCAGCTAAAGAGCCACATTTCCACTGAGTGATTCAGATACCCCAAACTTTGAAAATGAGCCTTATGTGATCTAAACTGACTTAGTTGTGCAGGTTAGAAAAACTCCTATCTCTTTGTCGTGATGTAAATCAAGCACAGAACAGGGTGATCTTACCAAAGCAAACCAAAGGAAGGGAACAAAAGTAGAAGGAGATAATTGAATCCCTTTGCTTCAGTCAAGTCAGAAGGAGATGGCGCCTCCTTATCCAGCAGCAGTGGAGCTTGGGCTCTAATGGAAAGGAAATAATGTGTCTAATTATCTTCTAATGCTGATTGTAGTGCATCTGCATGAAGTGAGTGAGTATCATCACCCAGCATGGCATTTATGCACGTTCAGGCACCATTAGTTATACACTCATTAGCGTCCGGACATGGGGAGAGAGAAAGGATGGAAATGTTGAAACGTAGCAAATCAATAAAATAGTGCTGAAGTACTTGTTTCAGAAACTGGATGCCCCTTTTCAGGTGCTTGTCATTGTTCAGCAAACTCATGACTTCTTGTCATTGTAACAGGTTTTAGTACGTTCCTCAATCAATAGATAGCACAGATTCACATCAGACTTCTGCTTACATAAGAATTACTAGATAAAAAGCAGCAAATGCTACCAGGCAGTCTAAACAAGTTTCACAAAAACCTGTATAAAAATAAATATTCCTACTTTCACTTTCACAAATTTGGCTGCTGTGAGTTGAGCTGAAGAACCGGAAACCTTCATGGAATGCTGTCCTTGTAGGCGGGATGTTGTCAGAGAAAACGTCAGTAGATTGCAGAGCAGTTGTTTCATGAGCCTTATAAAAGAACCAAACCTTATAAAAGAACCAAAGAAAATCCCGCTTTATGTGGCTAGATTTGAAAACAGTTAGAGGACTTCATTAAAATTTTAACCAACAGAATTTGTAGCTCAAAACGTGTAGAATGGAAGACCTTCTTACTTTCCAATTCCTAAGTTCTTGTTCAAGTAATATTTATTTAGAGTCTGACTGGGATCCTTAGCATGTGCCCCAGTGGAAATAACAGTGAAGATGTACATGAAATACTGTGTTACTCCAGCTTCAGCTATCAGTGAAAAGATGTGATACTACTGATACAAGCTGATACCAACTGTCAGTGAATGCAACAAGGCAGCTCAAAGTTATGCCTGTAGCTAAGCACCTGGTTGAACTGATTGACAGAAAGATTAGATTGCAGTGACAGTCACGATAAGGCACCCAGTTCTGAGCATCTGGGTCCCAGGTGTAGGAAATTTGGCTCCATGTATAAAGAAATTGTGGCATATTTATCTTTGTGTACTTGGTTGGTTATGATTAAAATCTAAGGGTATTTTCCAAACCAGGAACACACCTTCCCTTGAAAATGACAGCAGGCTATAACTGAATTCCACTCACATCGTAGCTGAAAGGGGGGAATCTTGCTGGGGCTCCCTGACAGGGTCTGCAATGTGCTGCGCATTCCCTGCAGTGCTGCTGGCTTCAGAGGTCCATGATTTCTATTCAGATGCTCAAAGGCTTTCCCTAGTGTCTGAAAGCTCTAGGCAGACCTGCCAGTGCTGTGTCAACCCTCTTCTTGCCTGCCTCACCAGATCAAGATCATGGTAGAATTTTGCGCTGCTTGTTTCCTCTAGGCCATTAAAAACCAAACATCACTGGTACAGTAACGAACTGCTCAGTGCCACTGGTCCCTGCGTTGGGATCAGGGGCTAGGTAGTCCTTTTCTCATCCCCTTTCCCATTGGTATTAAACAGAGGTGGTGTGGAAAAACTCTTACCTCAGAAGAATTTTGAGATCGTAGGAATTACTGATATTGTTTCATATAAATTGAGACTAACCCTTAGTGGAATTTCCTAGGGTTTTGATGGGAATTTTGTTTGGCTATCCTACATGTTTCTGGTATTTATGAATATGTTCATCTTTACATCTCGTTTACCACATGGATTCTTCTCTAAGAAAAACACAGTCTTGCTGCCTCAGAAGCCATTTACCTGGTGCCTACGCCTGACACTGTTAATCCCACTGTCTTCCTTAATGCATGTTCTGCCAGCACTTTCAAGCTACCTTAGAAGCTCTCCTCACCTTATCTATCTTTTCACTTATAATCAAAATACGATCTTCTGTACTGTTCTAAAGTTAGCCTTCCATGCCTGCATTTAAACAGTCAGACTACCTTTAGGCTTTGTCACAGGCTGTTCCTCATGCTTGAGGGCCACCCTACAGAGTCACAATGCGATCTCCATTATTAATAGTTCTTATGATGGTTTCATCAACTGTTTTTATTCGATGGACTACCTCACTGTTGCTCTTCAAAGGTCTTCATAGAACTCTCTGTTTCAATGTCCATAAAATGGAAGACCTTATTAACAGGGGAGCTGCCGATTTACTGAGGCTATGGCCTGTTGTACTGACCGATGTTTTCTAATCATTCCTGGAATTTGACTGTCTGCGTCCTTATGTAGTTCATAATTTCTCTGAGGAAATACGATCTTTTAGTTCTGTGTTTGTATCAAGTATATTCTTCCAGTAAACTACAGCTAAAATATTTTCATCAAATTCCTGTTTACAAATATTTTTTTAATCCTCCCTTCTCTTTACAGAGACATCAGCAAGAATCAAATAACTGACATTGCGGCTGATGCATTCAAAGGCTTGAAATCTCTCATTTCATTGTAAGTAGAAAATAGAACTGAATGGGCATTTGGGGAGAGCTTGCATGTAAGAGAAATAAAAATGATAATGTGCTGTCTGGGAGAACTTATGTTTCTCTGTGCAGCTGCCAGCTTGCGTGAAGCATCTGATCTTTTGTAATTGAAAAATTGGTCGTGAAGGTTAGAAGGAGGAACTGTTTACACATCTCTAGTAAGTTCTTTTATAGATGAACACCCCCAAGGTTACTGACTTGTTCACTTCTTCAAATCAGCGCATTAACTGATCTACTGCACGTGTGCACCTGCAGGCGAATCCATGCCCCCCAACTCATCACGGCACACAAAAACCTCATCATAGCCCAGACACTGTTTGGTGGTGTTAATCAGGGCGGAGTTAGGGGAAATACTTCCATACTGAATTTTTCTTCTGTACTAAAGAACTGAGATTGTGAGTTTTTTGGTTTCTTTGGGTTTGCTTTTGGTTTTGTTTTTTCAAACTAGTTAGGGAAGAACCTAAGCTCTTAAGAAAACTTTTATACTTCTTAGCTGTAATTACTACTTTATTAAGCTGGAAGGGTACTAAAATACGACTTCATATAGAAGATAAAAGGAAGGTAGGATCTCTTGACAACCATTCGTTTCTATTTATAGAACATAGAAACTATTTTATTTGAATTTAAATGCAGCTATATTTCAACCTAGCTACCCACAGTACTATTAAAACAGTGGAGCTTTTAATGGGTAAAAGGAGCAATACAAGGTCAGAAGCTGCATATGGAGAATGAACTGGAATAGAGTGTTAGAAAGAGTCCCAGGCTGAGAGAAGAGGGTAAGCTCAACTGGAATGATATTTACCCGCATTAATTTTAAAGACAGTTTTAAAACTTTTAGCGCATTGATATTCATATAACACAGTTTTATTTTTAAGAGTGTAGTTTATTTCTAAAAGCTACCATAATTTTATTCTCTGAATACTGGATAATTCCAACAACCTATATAACTTGTTGACTAATGCTAATATTAGAAGGTTATTCAGTCCTAAACTTATATGTTGCAGTGAACTTCTGAGCCAGAATGCAGAAGGATGGGCCTTTTCTTGTGCCCTGAATCCAGCCGGGAGAATGCCAGAAATAGATATTAAGTGTTGCTAGCCTGTGTTGAATAGTTAGGGTGGTGTTATTCAACATGCTGTGGAATGGTGAAATCCCTCAATGCTGTCTGGAAACGATTCAGTAAGGGAATGACATTTACTGAAGACTGCAGTTTTGGCTTAGTATGAAACTACTGCTGATCTTGCAGTGCTACAGCTTTCTGGTCCTGGCAAGCCTGCTGGCTAGGAGCAAGCTGGACAGGCAAGACATTTCTACTGGGGTTGACTTCCTAACTCAGAAGTTATTCAGCTTTAGCTATAGCTAATTCAGATACCCCCAGGTGGCCTCAGGAGTGGGACAGAACACATCAGAGTGGACAGAGAGGAAATGAGAATATAAACTGGGCAGGAATTTATAGTGTTTTGACTTGCACACAGAAGCAAGTGAAATGACTGTGTATTCTCTGCCCAGTCATCCAAAATGATAGTTTGAGTAAATGATGTTTAAATATGGTTATATCCAAGTGGGTAAAATAGCACTTAAGTTACTGTTAGGAGGTTACAAGGGGGAAGAGAGGGGCCAGAGAGATGAGACGCAGCACAGAAAGGGCTATAGTAAGGGAACTGCCGCTTAGTGTTTGTCTCTGCCTCAGCTTTCTCCTACCGCAGCCACACAAAGCTGTTGTAACACACAGTCTGTTTCTCCTCTCTCTGGCAGACCGGTTTCTAGGGCAGCATTGACTCCAGCCTTGAAATTGTCAGCTTCCTCCTCTAGGTTCAGTTGTCCATTGTGCTTGCCATTGGCTTTTACTTTCTTTTGAAGGGTTTTATTCTTGCTGTTCATTGCAAGTAGGTCTTACAAATGTTTTCCCTATGGCTGATAGGCAAGTTAGTTCCCTGATCTTTCATGACCTGTCACCCACACCTCTGGCAGGTTCTTCCCTGCTGGTCACTTCTGTAGTTGTTTCAGTTTCTGAGCCCTAGATATCTTTATGGAGCAAGATTATCTGCTCTTCTGCAGAATCTGGGTTTCTCTGAAGAAACCTCCCCAGGTTTCTACTTCTGAGAAGTAGAGGATCTTCTTTCATCTGATCTCTCTGCTATAGCCACCAGTCCAGTTCTGTCAACCGCAGAAAGACAAGTAAGCGCAAGAGAAGAGGACTCCTTTGAAGTGCCAGCCCTCCCAATGAAACTGCCAAAGGGGAAAGAACAAGGGGGTAGAAATGAAGTAAGACAGTTTGCTTACTAGTGTTTTCTCTTTTAAGCGTCTCAGTCTTTTTGGTGCCTGAGGCCCCAATAACTTTAGTCAGCTGCATGCCCTGAAGGAACGCTGCTCTGCATACAATGCTTCAGCTCAGCTGAGAGTAACTTTTATTTTTTGTATATGTAAGTCAAATGTGATTGGTGGCATACATTTTAATGAGACACCATTGAGGTTTAATCTGTGCACAGAGCAGCTGGACTTTTCAGCTAGCTGAGTTAAAACGAGAATAAAGGAGGGGAAAATATTAATGCACAAATGAAAGCAAGCAACTTTGTTTCCATTAAAAATGAAGTACTGCTGTACTGCCTAAAATCCTTGCTTTTTTTCCCCCTGCATTATTCCCATTTTCTGCTCCTCCTTTTACTCCCTGCTTGCCTGCAATTGCAGTGCTCCCTATGGGTCTAAGAGAGTGAAAGTGCTTATCTGGAAGGCAGCCAACGTTGTTAGTCTAGCTGGCTAATGGAGGCCTATATATAGTGGGTTGCTACTCTACTTTCTTCTAAAGTTAACTTAGGTTAGTGTTTCCAGGCAGAACTGTCTCTCAGAGTACTCCGCCTATTGTACCTATGTGAAAATGGAAGAAAAAACGGTGTATTAGAGTTTTGAAAACACAGGAATGTTTACTACAGAAGCAGTTTCCCCTAAAATATATAAAACTTAAATCTTTTTAAAATGCAAAGTGATCCATATGCTAGCAGGTCATAAGTTTTTTATTTTAAATCTATATATTTTCTCTAACAAGAAATCCACCTATGGCAGTCAAACAAGTCACAAAATCTTAACACTTTAAATAAGCTATTTCTACCTTAGGTTTTCTCTGCATTTAGCATTGGTTGATCGCAAAAGAATGTGTTAATGTCAATTTTAAGCAACAGTTTGAAAAATGCTCTATTTGTAGTACATGGCGTTTGTGTTTCATAGTTAGAATTGCACTTTGCTGGAGCTAGAGTGGTTAATAACACAGCGCAGAACATGGGGGCTAAGTTATGAATAGTTTCATGTTTCAAGATTGCTGCATGTACTTTCCAAAGTAAATTAATTTTTCATTTAATCAACTCAAAATCTAATATCAGTGAGAGGATTGTATCAGCATTTGGTTATTGTTAATAGTATCAAAGATAAATGTTATTCTTGGGGTCAGTAAACTTCCCACAACTGTAGGTTTGGAAGGCTATATCCGGACTGTCCTGGGACATTTTACGAGATAGGACAAAATAGTCTAAGCCTTCAGTGTGTTAAACTGAATGAATAAATTTTAGACCATTGCAGAGGGAGAATTCTTTTGCTTTTGTTCATATACTGAATTAAGCTAGTGAACAATTTAAAAGCTAGATCAGCCTGGGCACAAAGACAAGAGACAGCTTAGATTTTGACATAGCAGTCCCATTTAGACCATCATCTCCTGGGTGATGATGTATGTGGTGTCATTCATGGTGATTTGAAATCTGCAATAAAACACTGTCTATTGCAATAACTGCCAAACTTATTTTAAGGTAACAAATTGCTTTGGATAGTTTTACTGTGATTTATTTAGCCTAACTTGTTCTGAAGAAATATGAAATAGTGCAGGGAAAAAAAATTACATGTCTAAGTTTCTTTCAGATATTAGAAATTTATTGCTGTTTTTACCCCTATCAATTCCTCCTCTTTTGAAAACTTGAATTCTTATTGAGCCTGTGCCATTGTACGTAGCTTGGGAAATATAATTCTTCCTAGCAAGAATTGTTTTCACAATCTGAAGGAAAGTTAAAAGCATTCTGAGGACTGAAAAAGACATTGCATAAAGTCAAAATTTGACACTTCAGTAAGAATGTTTCAGCCATGCCAAAATAAAGGAACACTTAGCTGGAAACCATATGGTCTAGAGTAAGGGATTCTGTGCTAGGCTTTCATACCCCCAAAAAGTTCCGTGTCACCTTCCAGAGAAAAAAAAATCTATATTCGGGGATCTGACTTAACAAAGCAGCTAAATTGCAACTACATTTGCAAGTAAGGTAGGCCGACAAGCTGTAAAATAAAGACAACACAGCAATTATTGTTTCACACCCTTAGAAGGTGGTATGCTAAACTTCAGTGCATATGAAAGGCCATGTGTTGGTAAAGTTTTTGCAAATTCCTGAATTTTAAGATTGTTCAAGAGGTCAGAATGTCTAGAGACTGAAGAATCAGTGAGACTTCTGTGGTTCAAGACCCTGTCGCTGAAGGTTTGTTATATGCTTAATTACATTCTCACCCAAGATAGCGTACTTGTTGCTATGTGTGCTTCCAATGATTTCTTCGTCTGGTATGTCCCAAGCTTTTAGATGAATCTATGCAGTGACTATTTTCGCCGTTTAATCTTTATTTTTAACTGCTTAGAACATCAGTTGGATTAGTCTGCAAAACTTGAAGTTTAGTAGTAACAATTTATTGTTTAACTGGAAATGTAATATTTAATTGTGTCTTGGAATAGATACATTTTTAGGAGAATATTAAAATACGATGCCAGAATCAGGCTGAAGAAACATAATGCCTCATTATGACTTTTATATATTTGTATAATTTCTTACTGCAGATCCATAATAACTCTTCAGCTGAATAGGGTGCTTCTTCCAGGGATCTCCTCCAATGCTTGCAGTGCAGCCAGGGGTCTGTGCTTTATGTATGTTGTCTTTCCCATTGCTTGGAAGCTCGATGGCAGCCTGAAAACTGCTGCAAGTTGTGAGCCAACGTGCCAGGTACTTTTGAAGAACTGCAGCTTGCAGTTTGTGGCCATGCGGAAAGCATTTAGCTGTGAGCTGGCGAGCTGATGGCTCTACGTGCCGCTAAGAATGCAGCCCTCAGATGACTCGGCGCCCATCTGCCATAACAGCAACTTGCTGATGTTAGAACGCCACCTGCAAAAAATTTGAGAAAAGTTTGCTTGAGTTAAAAATATAGTGACTGATTCTTCACACTGGTCATTCAAGTGTTAGATATACCTGCCTTGTGGAAAAGATGAGAATGAAATTCATGCACTGGCAAGTCTGATGTGTTTGCACGTCTTTATGACTGTTTTCTCCATTCAGACTGGTTTCCATCTTTGTAAAAGAGACTCCCATGCGTGGCGAGAAGAGAAAGAAAGGAACAGTAAGGAAAAGGATACCTACTGGTGTCTCAGTCAGTTTTGGCTTAGTCTCTAGTTGCTACTTTATTAGCATTGTGAATATAGAATTAAGCTGTAGCTCACTTTTCTTTTTCTCCCCAAATGTACGTCATGTTTACGGTAATATCTTCTCCACCTGACAGTAAATGGTATTGGTCAGACCTGTGGCTAACTTGGTCTCCCAGCAAAGTTGAGAAGCTAATGGACAATCAGGAGCACACAACAAAAATTTTAGTAATTTTTTTATGCTCTAATAAATGTCATTCTGATTCACTGGTTCGCTGTCTATTGGCAGCAATTATTGAGCTGATTTTATTTTTATTACATATTAACTTTGTTAGTGTATTTTTAAAAAAATATATTTTTGGGCTAAAGTTTCAGGTGCTAGGGGATAGGAGGAGGGTTGTATTTCCTGTGCCAAGCTTGCCCAGTAGCCAGGACACCTGCCTGTCCTGCAACGTATGTGAGGGATGCAAGCGAACATACGTTTTTAGAACTTGTAATGCCATAGGCAAATGTCCTAAAATTTATCTCTGTTGGCAAAAGCATTGGAGATTTAAATGAAGTTCTTGAATTGACTTGGCTGAGTTGCCTGTTACATGGCCTTTTGAAGTTATTTTTTTGTTTGGGGTTTTTGTTTGGTTTCTTTTATCCCCAAAGCTGCTATTCTGGAAGCATTGCGGTGTGTGCTAGTGAGATGGGCAGAACGACAGGACGCAGAGGAAAGCGGCTGCAGTAACGGAGTGTACCCGGCCTGGCCCGTCTTTCCTGCGGGCTCCCTCATTCACTGTGCTGGTAGGAGTGCAGCAGTCGGTACATTCAGAACAAAAGGTGATGGGCCAGAACCTGACCAACAGTCATATTTGCTGGTATGGGTACGCTGTCTTAAACAGAGAAAATGAGAACTCTGAGGAAAGCAAAAGTTTCTGTGCTTTTTGTTAGAGTAAACAGAAATCAGGAACTCTAGAAATGAGACGCAATGCATTATGTATCTCCCCTCCCCTCTCTTTGCTTCTTTCTGTCGGACGGGTTGCCTTCAGCTCTGGCATGGCAGGCAGACAATGGCATGAGCTAATTTGGCTCTGTGTAGTGCTGAACATGAATATGAATTAGAGACAAGTGCCTGAGCTCTCATACTGACTTTTGTTTAGCTGTTAATTTGTTTGAATGTTAATGTGCCACATGCGCATAAGCCCAATTAGGTTTGAAAATGCTTATTTTCTTTTCATGGCTTCTAAAAATTGAAGCTTTATTTTATTTTATTTTATTTTATTTTATTTTATTTTATTTTATTTTATTTTATTTTATAGAATATTTTAATCTGTTTTATTTTGCTCAAAATAATATCATGTATAAACACATCCAAGGTTTAAAATTCAGTGGAACACTGCACTATGACCTTCTGACTCTTAAATTAAGAGTAAATGAAAAATTACTCTAATAAGAGTCTTATTTTGATATTTGGATTTAGTCGAACCATAACTAACAACTGTACAGGGTGTAAGTGTTTGAGGTTTTTTTAAGATTTTACTTTACATAAGTGGTTTTACTTCTACAGCCAGAATAACCCTTAGTCTGGAGCGGGGATTTTTTTACTTCTTTCCCTGGGCATTTTGTAAAGCTTAGCTTCTGAACTCTTTCTCATATGCTACAGTATTATGCATTATTGATCAGCATTGATGATCCTGCTACTTCACAAAACTGAGGAAGGTCTTCATCTAACATCCCAGAGCTTACAGTCTAACCTTTGTATACAGATGATGCACTTGCTGAAGAAATGTTGTTCAGAAAGAGTGGAGACTGAAATGGAAATATACTGGATTCTGTGGGCATTAACTTAATATTTTAACCTTTTATAAATATTTTATTTGCAGAGGTTTTGCTTTTGCTTCCTGATACAGGTGCTCACATCGGTTGCTTTGTTCAGAAAGAAGTCTGTGAGCCAGCCATTTGCATGTTGTTTTAGAGCCCAGTGAAATTCAGTGACTTGAATATTATCTTCTATTTTGAAACTGCTATCTAAATGGACCTGCTAGACCTGTCAAAGTTCAGCCATCATTTCTGTCTAGTTTTGGGCAGAATATTAAAATCTACGTACATCGCATGAAATTTTGTTGAAGTGGGAAATTGTGTGTGTCTTCTGAGGCTGAAATTAGGAAAAAATTAGAAAAATTAGTGGTACTAGCATTCATTACTCACAAAAAACACTAGCTGTCACAGCACATTAAAAGCCAACCTCCTGACTCTGCAATAGATAGAGAGGAATTATGTTACTTTTGTTTAGAGACAATATAATGCTAGATGATCATTAGTTTCTTGGGTAGCAGTTCAGTTCCTGCTAAACTACGAAAGTAATGAAAAATGAAGTTTTAAGTTCAGATTTTCATATCTAAGTGGTGTTATTTCATTTAGATTCATTTTATTTAGGCTCAGAAATGAGCTGATCTGGGAACTCTCCCACAGAGGTGATATACTTCCAATGACTGATGAAGAGTAAACCGAAGTGGCGATACTCTGGGAAGGCCAGAGGGCGTTGTAAATGGTCCGTCATGCTAAGTGTTTGTTTTTCAGTATGTTCAACTCACCATAACATTTTAAATGTTGAAAGGCAGGGTAAGCCAGCATTTCAGCCAGCATCCAAGCCTCACATGGCTATTTGATTCATTGCTAGCATATTATTCCACATTAAAAAGCTCAGGAATTAACCAGTTTAGTGACACATAAGCAACAAATTTTTGGCATGAGCTGGTTTATAACCATTTACTATGTCCTATGTAGAACACAGAAATTACATAAATACTGTTTTTCCCAATTTGAAGTCTATTAAAATGTTTAGGTAAGGCATAAAGCTTTCAGAAGTAGTCCAATTGTCTTCCCTTTTGCCAGGACCCGTATAAGGTCCTAACTCACTTTCTGGTTTTGACAAATTTTATCAGCTTGCGGCAATGACATGGGAAAACACTATAGCTGTGATTGAAATTCAGGTGTTCCTGTTATATGTGATTTTGCTCTGATCCCTAGGTAACACATCTTAGCATAACGGTGGGTTTGTCTGTTTTTCCCTTTAGTTCAATTTCTGAGGATACTATATGTGCATTTTGCCATGAAAAAAGGAAATATTTTTAATATTAAAACTGAATCATGGCTATCAGGTCTAATATATTTATGGTTCAATAAATATATACAGTGACTCTCATTTGTGTTATTAAATCTTTACTGTTTTTTATAACTAAACTATACCTAAATTATTTTTGAGTTTCTGAAATATATGGCTGTTTCCAGTTCAGGCTAAATTTCTTTATATGAGCTAGTTGAAATGGTGACAACAGCTGGTGAAGCCATAATATTTTATCCCATGATGCCTGTGTCACATTTCATGCCGATTATTACACCTTAAGAGATTCAGTTATATGAAATTTTATCTACAACCAGCTTGTGCTCCCTGGCTTTTAAATTCAGTATCACTGAGCAGAATGCTAGGTTTTTGCATCAGACAACGTGCCTTTCAATGGTTAAAATATTTCTAAAAAGGGTGGGAAAAAAAATTCCCTCAACAGAATGAAAAATATTTCAGATACAGTTTTTGGATGATGTCCAGTTTCTACATTAAAAATGCTTTCCAACACCAGACGAAGCCTGAATCATAACGACTCATTTAATACCATGTGCTCTCTGAAAAGAAAATGAGATCAGTAGTTAAATGAAATGCCCACAGATCCTGGGCATGGTGCACAAGATCAATAAAGATGATAATGCAGAGATGTGGGAGGACACTAAACTGGTCTGTTACTTAAGATTTATTTTGTCTTCCTGAATCTTTCAGAGTGCTCTATGGAAACAAGATCACAGAGATTCCCCAGGGCCTTTTTGATGATCTTGTGTCTCTGCAGCTGCTGTGAGTATGATCCCTTCCTCTTCTTTATTTTACAGACTAGCTAGATTTACTGTTTTTTCAGCGTCTGACATATATATAATCACCTTTTCCACTGAAAACTCACTGGGACATGCTAGTCTTCTTTTCTGTCTCAGGCAAGAGGGAGGCAAGGGCTGAAAAAAAAAAAAGAAAGGTGCCAACAGTTTTATAGCACGGTGTGTATAATGGGTAATAGACACAGAGGATTTAAGTGTGGGGAGGAAATGAGAGACTCGGTGAAGTCCAAGAAAGGAAATTTGGTCACCAGCTGATGTGCGGGTGCGGATGCCATCTGATTGTTTTTACACATTTAGCAGTTGTGGTTGAATAGCTAGATCCTTGAGGGTTACTGTGTCTCAAGTACCTGCACATGCAAGCAAAATGGCAATATGAAAGATCTTACTGTTGCGAGCCATGCTCAGTTCCATATTCTTATTACGCCAAATGTGGCTTAGTTGCAAGAGAAATGATTCCAGAATATATTGTGTATTTGAGTATTTTATGCCATGTGTGATTTAACACACAGTCATGATCGGGGTAAGATATATATCATACACTCTTCAGTATTTATTAATGTAGCATAAAAAATTTCCAAAGCCAAATGTGAAATTCCAAATTTCACTCACTCTTGTCTCCATAATCACACTGGGAACCAGTAACTCCTTCAAAGAGAAGGAAATCAGCTACTATGTCAGCCATTCAGTAGAGGGAGCAGAAGCGAAGTGAGTTTTAATATGTGTTCCTAACGTTCTGATTACCATCATGGATGATGCACTCAGAAAGGTGATATATGATAAATTAATCAGTTCTGGTTTATACCACACACAACCCTCCACCCACAAGCAATAAATTATATAAAATATAAAATAAAAAGTAGCTTTTAGACATGTTATTTTAAGCCTTTCTGACTGTCTTGACATAACCAGAAATGAATATCCAAAAGTTCATGATCACCAGTGAATGTGTCACTCTATGGCTGCAGTCTTTGCTGTGCTTATATGCTATATAAAAATAAGCATAGATTTAGATTAGAAATCCATGAGCAAAGCCAAAGAACTAAAATATTAAATAGTTGAAATTGCTCTATATGTTAAGTGAAGGACTACTCAGATGTGTAATTTATCTATAAGATCTTAGTTGCAAACATGGACAGCCCTGTTCTAAGGAAGGACAAGCAAGAGCACATGTGGTTTGGTTATGACAATCCTTGAGCTGCAGTGGTGGGAAGCTCTTCGTCTCCTCCTGCACACAGCCAGTTATTTTGTCTTCACCTTTTGCACGTACTTTTTCTGGCAGGTCCTTTGGTCTCTCCTGTCCCATATCTCACAAGTTTGTTAGTACTTCAGTGCCTTCATGGCCAGCCTGTGCGGCGAGAGAAGACTCTGTATTTAGGGGGGAGGTAGTTTGCCCTGCGTGAGAACAATAAGCGTGAAAGCGCTTAGAAGCTGGGACTCAGTACATGTTGGTATAACTGGGATGCTGGTCATTGCCAGACTCGGGTTGTATTTGGTACAATGAAGATGCTGCAAGCAAAAGGAGAGCTAAAACTTAACTTGTCAATTTGACCGCTGAGAAAGAAACTATGTTAAAAAAATCTGAGCTTTATCATAGTCCTCCCCCCCCCAAATATTTTGTGGCTACAAGTTTGAAGTGATACACAGTTGCCCTACCTAACCCAGGACACTTTACAGATAGGATCTTTCCCAGTAGGAAAAAAGTATAAAAAATATAGTCCTATAAAAATGTGCGTCTAGAACTTCTGCATAAAGCATTAAGCAGGTGTCAACACCTTTATACTATAATCCTTGTGTGCCTGTAGTGCAGGCTTTCAACAAATTATATATTTAAGCCCCGATGCAGTAATTTTCCAGTCTGAATTAGCTCAAGTGATGCCTTTTTGTTAAGGGGGCAAACTCTGCATGCCAAAGAATCATTAAAAGCTGTTGCACTTCAGCCATTTAAACATGCTCAAGCTGAGAAGATGTAAGCAGGTTGCCCCGTTATGGGGTTCCCAGAGTATTGTGGCTCTGGAGCCTTTCAGGTTCTTCTTGAAAGTGTTTGAATGTAAAGTAGCTTTTCGCAAGGAGAGCATTGAATGATCGTGCTTTAAATGCAAACAAACGTCTGCACACTTTTCTGGTTGTGGCTTTGAAGCAGCTACTGTGAGATTGCTTGTAATATTTTAATGGATACCAAAAAAATAAATTGCATTCGTTGGTTTTAGACCTGCTGTTGAACAGTTGGAAGAGTGCCCTATGATTAGATCTAATTTAGTGTTCAGTGGCCTCTAGATTGGATTTCTTCTTATTAGTCTGGAGACACACTGATAAGAATGCTCTGATTAAGGTAGCCTGGTAGCCAGTATAATTTCCTAAGCTTGAGCTGGAGCATTTTTGAAAATATACTGGTGTTATGGTAAAGCAGGACACGATCAGAAAAAGGGAGTTGTTGTAGGTCCTGTATAAAACCGTTGAGATTGTATTTAGAAGGAAAAAATAATTACTGTGAAATTGCAGAGCAGATAATATTGTTATTTACTGTTTTGGATAAGACTCCTCAGAGTTTCTCAGAAATGTTGTTATCCTTCTGTTTAAATATACTATCACAATATAGGCCCAGATTATTCATCTTTTATTGTGGCAGAATTGTTTTGTGTAAGTGCCTGACATCTGCAGACAGTACCACTGACGTCAGAAACGCTGTAGCTGGGTAAGGTAATGCTCGGCTCAGGCATGGCAGCATCTTGACCTGCCCCGTTTGACTTTGCTGTATGGGAAATGAAGAATTCAGAACAAGTTTTAGACCACCTGGCTAGCTTTAGGATTCTGTATTTCTGTCATATAAGACAGAGGTGAGTAAGCCAATATTGTATTATATTTGGCAAGAAAATAACTAGGCATGGTTAGATAATGAGGTTTTTTTATTGGGGGCAGGGGTGGGACGGGGTGTTGGTTTTGGTGGGTTTTTTTAACCCCTATTGATGTAATTCAAAATGTTGCTTCTGAAGTCTTCGTTATAATTAGCTATCTTAAGTAGCTAACATTCCCCACATAAATAATCACAATAGGATTTCTGTTAAATTGCTGATTTCACGGATCTTATGTCTTCCTGAACATGCGATTGTAACCAACGCGGCAGCAGCCATTATTACAGAAGTCCAAGTACATCTCTGTTCTGTGGAACAGAAGCTTTTCTTGGACCGTGGCACTTGCCTTCTCCTGTTTGAAGTTGCCAGGAGAGAGGATGCTAGAAAGCTACTGTAGCTGCTGTACCCTATCCTCATACATTCTTCTTTTCAGCAGGCTAGATCAAATGTCTTCTGAGAATTTTAGGTCAATTTGGATTTGAGAGAGCTATACTGTTTTCCAGAAAGAGATAACTGGAGTCTGATTTTGGGAGTTTTGGTTTGCATTTTTTTTGGAACAGTAAACTGAAACTTTCATTTAATTGGGGCAACAATCCATCCAAGCTGTGAAATAGTGTTTGATTAATTATCATTGTTAGTGCAACTTGCATTTGAATATCAAAAGAATGGAAAGGGCTTCAGCTTAAGGTGGAAGTTTTCAAGTAACCTTGTGGTTAAAAAGCTGTGGCCACTTTGAACTCCTGTCCAGGAGGCCTTAGACTAACCTTGGTCTGTCTAGAAACGGGAATACATTTAAATGTCCTTCTCGCCTGTCTTTTAGTTTTCCTGGAATGTGGACAAGCTCTTTCAGGAGCCCTTGAGTTTGCCAGACTGTCTGCCAGTCACTGCGCGGGGGGCACGCCATAACACTGCACAGCTCTTTCCGTGACCGATAAACCTGACGGTTGCTCTGCTTGCTCCCAACTGAGCAAATGTGCAGAGCCAATCTGCAGTGAAACAGCCAGTCAAGTGGCTCAAGACAGTGAGCTGTGGATAAGGGGCACCAAGTTTGTTAGCCAGTATTTTTCATATCTAAGTACTACGCTTTCCTCTGTGCAACCATATTAAAACAAACGTTCTGGGAGCCTTTTTATTACAGTTATACACTGTGTGTGCTTCACAGTGCTCTATTTCCTGGAACAAGGAGGTATCATAAAATCTCTACTGTTTAAAGAGATTGTGTAGCAAAGTAATATAGGGGGATGAAATCTCATTTTTCAAATGTCTGGCAAGTATCAGTTTTCAATAACTCCTTTTCCTTAAGGAAATTTACTTTGCATAGTTACTAATCATACAAGTGCTCACGTGTGTTGATCCTAAATCTTATGCTTCGGATCCCCATGGCTTGCTGGGCAAGAAAGAATCTCTATAGTGGACTCTGTTTTGGTGTTGCCAGAAGTAGATATACTCTTGGGGTACATATATATTGAAATCAGAGGTTTGTTGTATTCCTCTCTCATAAACGAAGCCAAAAGCTTATAGCCTTTTCCTCCTTCTCCTAATGTCTGATCATTAGGGAAAATTTAACATTGTAGTTGGAAAAGACCAATAATCATCCTGGTGCCTGGAATGTGACGTATTGACAGATAAAGTAATTTCAAAAGTGGTGAAAAATTAGACTTCCAGATCCAGTCATCTAACCTGGGTTAAAATTGGAACTAGATCTAATATTTACAACTTCAACTGACCTTTATTTAAAATTGACCTGTGTGGAGTGATGAGTCATGGGTGTACTTTCAGAAACTGCTGTTATCAGTCTTCTCAAAATTCAACCACTCAAATTTTGCCTTGAGTGATTCTCCTTTTTAACCTGCTTTTTATGCTGTTTCTCCTTGGATGAATAGTGAGATACCTGGTACTCCTCACCTCTGGTGAGGTTGCTTGGAACATATCTCCATGGCAGATTTGCCAAGTTTGAAATGCTTGTGTTGATTTGTAATTGTAAATTCAATCCCAGTACTTAAGAGCTTAAAATAGGATCTACCAATTATTTATTTTGTATACTTTTGGAGCTTGTTAGAAGCTCAAAGAAAATCCAGTGAAGTACAAACCCATACAAAGTATTTAAAAAAAAAAA